CCATGTCCAGGTCTCTGAGAGTAGTCCAGGCTTTGCAGAGGTCCTCCAACACTGTTGCTACGTGTCAAAGATGTCCCGGTGCCTTTCTGCTGCTTACATGCTGCCTGGTGCTCCAGGAGACCCAGGGGGTCCGACTGTACCGGCCCTGGAATCAAACTGGAAACAACCATTCACTTATTTATATAGCACCAAAACATTAGCATTATATAGCACTTTTTATTATAAGGTAAAGACCTTACAATAATGCAATGATCCACAACAACAATTATTATTTTTGTTATTAAAGTTTATTCCAATAACTTTTTGTTCTCAGTCACCAAGTAAAAGGCACCAAGATCATATTAGAAGATCTATGCTGCCATCTAGTGGCATTTACTATGAAAACACTAGCAAGGCGGTGCTGAAGATTTAAACAAACATGCAAATGCATCTCCTCGTGCATGCAACCTGAGGTGCATTCAGGGTACTCAGATGAAGTTGTACCTCTTCTGTGCTCCTGGAGTATTTTCAGTGGTCTCCCTCGGTTCATCTTCAGCGAAAGTGATAAGGTCTGGTGTCTTAATGTCAGCCGCGCTGCTAGCTGTGGGGTGAGCGCTTGTGCTGTGGATGCTGTCCCCTGAGGCACTGGGATTCACATAAAACCTTAAAGAGAAAATAAAAGAACAGGGATATTTAAATTTGAGTTGCCACAAAGAATATGTTCGTGTGGAAAAATAAAAAATCTCATCTGACAGTTTCCTACCCGGTCATCGTGCGCAGGTCGTGAAACTCGATGTGCAATAAGGGAAGAAAGACCGTCTGACAGAAAGGACAGTTGGTATTGAGGTTGGAATCATCAGCCGTCCAGCCTGCCATGATCTCCTCGTCGTACACCAGCGCTTCACAGGAGCGACACTGGGAGCAACTGGACATCAGCACCTGTAAGTGGGATAACGCGTCAAACCCTGCTGTATTTTAAACATCAGCAGTGAGAGTGCAGCGCAAACAGAGACTCTGTTCATGCATGTCCTACCTCCAGTGCACAGTTCTGGAAAATACTCGAGGAGGAGGCGTGATGCGAGGAGCTTTGCTCAGAGTCAGGACCTCTGCCCGGGCGCCCTGGAATCAGATCTGCAGGCCGACATGAAAACAATATTGAAAGCTGGCATCACTGGCCTAAGAAGTACTTCACTGCCCCTCCCTTGCTTCTTCATTTACATCAGAGAGTCAGTGCTTACGTGTCTGTGTGGTCCCTCGGCCTGTGTCACTGCTGCTGCTGCTGCTGCCGCCCAGGCTGGTGCAGCTCTGGTTCAGACCATTAGCCACCAAACCTGGGATGCCTTTTCTCTCAGGACTGTCATCCAAGTCATGTGCAGCCAGCATATTTTCATCCAGACGAGCTGGGAAGCCGCCGCCACCAGCCTGAGCTTCATCCTGTAGAGAAAAGTTACCTTAAATCTTCCCTTTTATGCAGAACAGGCTGACACACCTGTTCCATCAGATCAGATGTTAAACTGCTTAAAATGTCTGGAATGACCTTTTAATGACCCTCACCTCATCATCTGAATCGGCGTAAGCGGATGCCACTGCCCCCCACACTTTGCTGGCCACGTTTGCTGCCTGCTTCATGCTTGACTTGAGCACATCGATTTTAGGTCCTGTTAAGAACGTGTCCATCTTGATACCTGAAATGGTGTTAAAGACCGAGCCCAGCGACCCCCCCTGAGAGGACTTGACCAGTGCGGTCAGTGAGGACGATCGCTGGCCCGGGCTCGCTGTAGAGCTCGCTGTAGAGCTCGCAGGCGTCTTTGTCTTTACTGCAAAAGTCTTGGAGCGGGTTACAGTGCTGGGGCTGCGTTTGGGGGTGTTGCTCGGTGAGCCAGTTGGGGTTTTCACAGGAGGCACTGGGAGGCTGGACCTGCGCTCCAGAGTCTGTTTGGGCTGAGGTGCATCCGTGGAGTCTACCTGCGGCTGCTGGAGCTCCATGCTGGAGGATTTGGTACCCAGCGGGGTTTTCAAGCTCATGTACAGCTCGATCTCTTCAGCCAGGTTACGGGACACCACAGCAGGCACGGAGCGTGGCGGTTCCTGACTGTTGACAGAGGCCGACTCTTCGCTCTCTGACACCAGACGTGACAGCGGGTCAGCTCCCACTTCCACGTCGGCCCTCTCCAAAATGGGTCCTCGCACTCCAGAATCATCTTCATTAGTTTCAGTGTTTTTTCTTACTTGTTTCTCCCTATTTACGTCGGTAACCTTCAGGTCTTTGTCGTCTGTCTTTCTTTCTTCTGCGGTTTCTGGGTCCTTTTCTTCTGGAAGCTTTTTAAGCCTCAACCCCTGATTTTCCTCAGGCTCTTCCTCCAAGTCTTTAAAAAGTGGTTTGGGCATAATATTAGGGGGTGGGCTTTGACCTCCTGAGAGGACTCCAGCTAGGATACGAGCATCAGCGCCCATTCGGCTGGCCATGTGGTCCATGCCTGCCTCAGAGAGCATTCCAGCACGAGTTTCAGCGCTGAAGCTGCAGCTGCGTTCAGAGAAGGATTTCTGCCGCTGATGCTGAGACTGGTGAGCTACGGCTGGGGACGGCAGCGAGGGATCGTCATCGGTAAGTGACACGTTATCGTTCTTGCTGTGTCTCCTGAACAGCTTCCCTTTACCTGCACACAGATACAGTTATTGTAGTGCAACAATTACATTTATGTAGCTTAATTGAAACAGGAACAAATAATCTTTACAAATTCAAAGGTGATGCCAATTTCACAGAATTTCCACCAAAACATTTTAAAGTATTTGAGCTAAATGTACTTTCTTACCCGTTTCTCCGTCAAAGCTTCCCGTGGACAGCCTAACAATACTGTGGACATGTGGCGACCCATCGACAGGACTGTGGGGCTCTCCCACTGCTACTGCACTGTCCACTGAGCCAGCTATGTCCCCTCCTGGTTAAAAAGAAACAAAAATAAAAGTAGTGGTTTGTGGTGCATACAACACAATACTGGAGGTGAAGGCCTGAGGCTGGGCCTTTCTTACCATTATGCTGTGCTTTGGTATCGTTTCTCTCATCAGCCGGCGGAAGGGCAGCGTGCAACGGTTCAGCCAACTCCTGGTGCAGCTCATCCTTGGAGCCATATCCTTGATCACACTGTCTCTCTGGAGAGCACAGAATTTTAAAAAAAACACAAACACAGCTGTAATCACAAATGTACGCTTTTAAGAAAGCTTTTGTTTTTGTTCCTCAGAGACTCAGCTGAACCTTGGGTTACAGAGAACCAATGCTTTGAGAATCAGTACCTGCGCTGCAGTGGTTATCTGCTACGTCTTCCATGTCATGGCTGGGGGCAAATACACTGTTCTCCTCACCGTTGACCTCGCTCGAGCTGTCTGCACTTCCATGACTCAAACAGTCGGCATCAGTGACTGCTGAGGCAGCTACTGGAACACCTAAAGAAGGACGCAGGAAGAAACACGAGTAGATTGTATCTGGTATAGCAGCAGACTTCTGATATTTTCTAGTTAACATCAAGTTAATGTCATCATTTTTTTTTTAAATTCCAATTTATATGTAATCATGAAGCTATGATAAGAAGTGTCCTATAACTTCTAAGTAGAGTCAGCCTCTTGTCTGATAAAGTTTCAGGTTTTAACTAGTGCTGTTAAAATGACGTTAACGCCATAACCGCATTAACGCCGATCGCCCTGTGCGTGTGGCTGGACGGCGCTAACGAGCTAACGCCGTGCAGCCCCACACATGGGACGATCCGCAATAACTCGCTAACCAAGATTTGCCGCGTTAATGTGGTTATGGCGTTAACGTCATTTTAACAAGATTAACGCTGACAGCACTAGTTTAAGTAACCCTGCTAACAGGTAAACAAACAAACCAATCATATAACCTGCTTAGAAGAGGTAAAAAAAAGCAAGAAAAGGGAACGAGAGGAACACAGCCTTGTACATTTGAGTCACACCTGTGGTAGTCAGCGTTGATCCCTTCTCAGAAGATGTGCGGTTTAAACCGTATTTAAACTGCGTGACTCCACGAAGGACGTTGCGCAACTTGGTCCACATGATCAGGCCGCTCTGGTTCCGGCTGGGCCACGGGCTCTCTAAGACAGCCTGCGCAGAACAGATGAAGGATGAGATGGGATTGCTTAATAAATCCCATAAACCAGCATATCAGCAAGACCACACACACACACATTTCATATGTTAAAGTGATAAGCCATATATGTAAACCTTATTGTAGTATCCATATGTGATGGCGTTGGGATGGACTCCAGCTTTCTTCATCTCAACCAGGACTCGCACAGCCATCACAGGCAGACCCCACACGCCGCAGAGCTGCATCACCACTCTGTAACACACCTGACAGCAGACAAACACATGATCATTACTTTATATGTTTTGCATTGTCTATGAAATTCCAAAAATCTAAAGAGAAGTGATAATCTAAACATATTCCTACAAAATGTGAACGTACCTCATCCAGTATCTCCACCTCAGTGGTTCTCATCTTCAACAGGATGTTGTACGCCTGCTGCATTGCCCGGGTCTTTGACTTGGCCATCCGTACAGCTGCTGGCAGGCAGATGAACCACAGACTGTAGCAGTGACTGAACAGACAGCGGGCCCACAGAGGCGGGTTGGAGTAGAAACGCTTTGCCATCTTGTATGAGAGCTTGACCTCCTATAGGAGCAGTACGGGCACACGCCAGATGAACACGTTGGTAAAGAGCATGATCAAAGCAGGTATCGTTCCTACTTCTGGTGAGGATGATAGTGTGAGTACGTACTTGCTTTGTCCTCTTTGCTAGTAGTGCAGGGCTGCTGGACAGACTGGCCCCTGCTGCTCTGGTGCTGAGTGCAGGACGTAACTCTCTTGGACGGTCAAATAGATTTAACTGCAGTTTGGGGAACCCTTTATACCTGCAGAATGTAAAGCAAGGAACACTTTTAAACCAGAGTCAGAGTCAGCCACAGTCAAGTCAGTTTAACTTGTTGGATATTGATCTGATCAGTTTAGTAACAGAGGGGGTTGTTAATCAGTTTCAGCTGCTTTGGTGTTAATGACATTAACAACAGGTGAACTAGAGGGACAACAACGAGAAAACCCTAAAAATAGGAATGGTTTTACAGATGGAGGCCACTTCTCTTCTTTTCTGATAGTTTTTTTTCACTAGTTTTGCATTTAGCTAGGGTCAGTGTCACTGCTGTTAGCATGAGGCAATGCATAGACACTATAGAGGTTGCACAGGTAGTTCAACTCCTCCAGGTTGACACATTAATACCACTGGCAGAAAGAGACAGGCAGTTAACTCTAGGAGAGCTGGATAGGGCCACAGAAGGTCCTTAACCCATCAGCAGGAGCGGTATCTGCACCTTGGAGCCTGATTACGTTTGCCATAAAATACCAGAATAGCAGGTCCACCAGTGGCACCCTGTGCTTTTCACAGATGAGAGCAGATTCATCCTGAGCACACGTGATAGATGTGAAAGGGTCTGACGAAGCCTTGGGGAACATTTTGCTGCCAGCATGACCAGTTTGGTGGTGGGTCAGCGATGATCTGGGGAGGCATATCAGTGGAGGGACACACAGACCTCTGCAGGCTAGGCAACAACACCCTGAGTGCCATTAGGTATTGAGATGAAATCCTTGGATCCATTGTCTGACCAGGACCCCCTGCACCTACACTGGTGCAGGTGGTCCTGGGTTCCTCCTGGTGCACAGTCTCATGTGGGGAGAGTATGCAGGCAGCTCCTGGAGGATGAAGAAACTGTATGACTGGCCCCCATACTCGCATGACCTAAATTCACCTCTGGGACATTATGTTTCAGTCCATCCAACACCACCAGGTTGCACCTCAGACTGTCCAGGAGCTCATCGATGCACCATCCGTTTTCTTATTATGAGCACTCCCCTGACATTCTCAGGCACACATGTAAGCACACGGTGACAAAATGGACTCTCCTGCTGCATCATTTTATCACTGTGATTTTTGGGGGCGTCTTGGAATTCAGCCCTCTGTAGACTGATCACATGCCCATATCGGTGTTGACATTCAGCATGATTTTTCCCCTATTGAGCTCTGATGTGTTTTTAAAGTGTTACTATAATTTTGTGGAGTGTACGCTTAAAGCACTACAAGTCTTACGTGTACTGAGGAGCAGGATCCGGTCCATCATCTACTGGAGGCTCAGGAGGCATTACAAAGACTGTGTGCTCACTCTTTTGAGACTCATCCAGCTCCAGCAGTCTTGTGTCCTCAGATGACTCTCCTTCAACCTGCAGAGGGGATCACATCCAGAGATTTAGAAAACGACACAGACTGTAGACCATTTCCTGTCTGATACCAGTAAATAAACTAGGTTACAAGGATACTCTATAAAACTTTTGTAATTAAGCAGTAAAGCATGCTTATTTGATTGTGATTAAGTTAGAGGAAAAGCAGGAAAAATCCATGCCTCTTGACTGAATGCATTCATCAGATAGGGGGAAATTAAAATATATGAAGAGGGGGGAAAAAAGGTGCAAGGAAATCTGATTACATTATTAGCAATTACCTTGGTGCCCTTGTCGGTGATTTTATCAGAGGGAAAAAGCTGCAAGTAGAGGGAAGAGAGCGAAGGGAACAGAATGAATCAAAGGAAATTATGGCTTCCTTAGCCTCCCAGCGTACAAATGTTACTTTGCCAATGAGCCACTGTAACACAAAGGCCTGTTCCTGGAAGCAACGCTCCAACGGAAGAGAAAAACAAAACAACAAAGACCAGCATGTGTTTTTTACACGCCTGGAGGCAGCATGATGCCGGGATTGTAATCACCTTTTCGACGCAATCGTCAAAAAAGGCCAGGCCTGTGTCCTTGTCGCTGACGAAGGTGCACTCCTCGATGAAGCGGATGAATATCTGGGTCTTGGTGAGCTGGGAGTAGAACTTCTGGTGGGCACGGTCTCTGCTTTTGAGGAACCCTGCAGGAAGGGAAGGAGAGAGTGCGGCGTCAGCTTCACGGTCATCTCAGTTTACGGAATTTATGAATTCAGTGTCACTCGTTAATTTCGTAACTTAGCAAAGAACAAAATTAGAGTCTTTACTGCATCTTAAAAGGACAAACATAAGACGTTTTGTCCTTTTTGGCCTCATTATATTAATTATTCCTGAGTGACCCTCATCAAATCAATGTGCAGCTATTTATAAAAGTGTTAGACTATGTGGCGTGAAGAAGAGTCTCTTTCACATCATCTAAAATTGATCTTTGAGAGGGGAATGAAATGGAGCCAGGAGCCTATTTCCCAGCATCAAACACTCTTATGGCTGATGAGAAAGGTGATTAATTTCTAAAAACACCTTTAATGGTCTATTTTAAACCATTACAGTACATGGAAGGGAGGGCAGGGAATTAGACTAAAGGGCATATGAATGTGCCCAGCCTCTCAACCACTCGGTCAACCTGACTCCTTGAAACAGAGATGCCAATAAAAGTATGCATGAGTTGAGCCCATCTGGATTAAAGTTGTAAATTATGCAAAGGTTACAGATCCAGGAAGCTATCAACAAATCCATAGTGTTTGGTGAATCACGTGTTTACCTTGTTGGTCATAGAGGGAGTCTGCAGCCGTGGTTTTTTCAGAGGGCGCCTGGGTGATGGGTTTGAGGTAGCAGCGGTAGCCCTTCAGGATGGAGGCCATGAAACGAAGGAAGGCCTCTTGGATTTCCATCTCCAGGGCCGTCCTTTTCTTGTGCCAGGTGAAGTCCGCGTCCATGGGAGTCATGTCGACAGCCGAGCCATCCGGCATCACTGGGCGTAGCGAAACTAAAACAAGCCAGTGTGGTCAGTTTAAATAATTTATATCAATTTCTCAGCTCTCTCCTTTTATTAAATGTACTCTCAATTAATAATAGGTTTATTAATTAGGTCTCCCCACATTTACTTTTCTGTAATAATGCTTGACGATGGAGATAATGTAATGATGCAAAATTATGAGAGTCACAGAACAATGAGGTTACTAACGCTGTTAGCATTAGCTTTCTGACCAAAACGCCTCAGGTGCTGTCAAAAAGTTCAGACAGGTCTATATAAGCACAGCGTATGAATGATAAGAATCAAATGCATTAACTGCAGCTGTTTTATAATGGAGACTGAGCATGCTCAGTGTGGATTTTGACAAAAGTGTTTACAGTTAAGCTAGCTAGCTTGTAAGTACTTTTTATTGCATCAAAAATTTGACATAGTAAAATAATTCTGATATTTTATCAACCGAGCAACCAAAAAAGAAAATATGAAAGCGTATTTGTTTTTTAAAAGGAAATAGCATATAGTTCAGATGCTTTTTTCCCCATTATGTAAAGTTTTGTAATGCATTGTTAGCTTTTTTTAAAGGTATAGTTTTATTTTCAGCTTTGGACTACCATATTTACTAAAAGAATACCATGATGCATTTTGTAATTTAAGCTTACAGTGTTCAGGTAAAGATTAAGAACCCTGTCCACGTTAATTGTGGTAACTTGGTATAACAGGTAAGTGATCCGGGTTTTGCTATACAAATGAGAAGCTGTTTGTACCAGTGGCCAGCTGGTGGTGCAAGTTGCTTAGTGAGTTAATGAGACTCTTGCAAGGTTTTTTTGGGAGGTTCTTCCAGTTGCTGTGTTTCTTCTCATCTGACCTGTAACATACAAAACCACAAAGTTTGTAGACTGGAAAAAACCAAAAGACAGCTGAAAACAAAAATCTGCTGCTGAAAGAGTTGTTCAACATAATGAGAGCTGTTAATGTAGAAGACAAAGTGTGTTTTTCTCCAACAAAGCACAACATACAGGTAGATAGTGTTCGTGTCCAGATCCACACAAACAACATCTGGTGGGGGGTCATAAAGGTCAAAGTAGCGGGAGTCCACGCCCACTATAAATGGACACGGCGCGTTGAGGACGCCTGCGAGAGACAGCGGGCAGAGGGGGATGTAGGGACACTGCCACTGGAAGGGGAAAATCATCTGGAAGGAGACAAAAGCCAGAATCAGGATTATTACTCCCAAACAGATGTTTTTAAAGGGTTTCCCATGTGTAAAAAAACCAAAAACAACAGCAGCATATTTCTTTCCTTACTCACGAGCCCATTTTTTCATATTGCTCCACCCCTCAAGAACATCTATAAGTTGAACACCGAAGGTAAATAAGACAAATTTAGGGGGGGTCACACTTGCATAACTGATCTATTGTAACAGCTGAAACCTATTTGGGTTGATTGTGAGAATTGTGAAATCCTTACTTTTCTGGAACTGGAGAATAAGCAACTACATTCAGTGAAAAAAACCTCAAAGTTCAAAAAGCCTGAGTAGTGCCAGAGTTATTTGGATACTACGCTGCCTGCAGGCAGGGACATGTGAGACACAAAGTAATGATCAGCTATAAAAGCAATTTAAAATTGTCACAAGTTTAAAAAGGAAGTCATTAGCTTGCGGTTCTAATCAGTCATGACAGGCATTTTCAGCTAAAAGAAAGATGCTTTACTTTAACATTGTCTGGACTTCATGGTACTGTGTTGCAACATTATTAGGCAATAAATGGATAAGTGGAAACCACCATTACCAATACTCAATAGGGCTACATTATTGAGAGTTGAATATGTTTACAGTATTGATTACAGTGTAGGCGTCACTGGGGCTCCATTACTGATTTTGTGTCTACATGAATAAAAAAAGACGTGCAGTGCTGCTCACATCACTGCTCAGAAACTTGTTCCTCTTCTTGCTGCTGCTTTTCTGGATTAAACTGCTCTACCTGACTCATCTTAATGCTCTTTCATTACAGCCATAAAACATAAGTGAAAGGAAATGAAACTAATAGTTACAGTTCCTCCATGTGGACCATTTGAGCTGTCTTTGACTAATTACTGATACTGTTACATATACAGCATATATCATTTACTAAATGTAGCTTATGTCACTGTGCTGTATCTCTCTCTCCATCTGCTTGTACATGTAAGGCTTGTCTGAGCATCGAGTGCCTAAATAACAAGCTGTGCATTCTGTAAGCTCTTAATTAGTGTTTTTATTTAAGTAAGCAGACAGTTTTCTTCTCTGCAGTTCTGATGAATGTTGACTCGACAATAGTGACTACTACTTATGTCACTTTAAAGGAAAGTGTTGGGTTATCCAAACACAGTGGAGTTCAACTGTGCATCTGCAGCGTGTTATTCATTTAATCCTTTTGCAAATATATTTTTGTTGCTGTGTTCCTTAATGAGATGTTATTGTGCAACACTTTATAGTGCTAACCATATGTTTCTTATCTAAAAAGTTCAGATAAGTCAAGGAAATGCAAGTGTCAATGTTTTGCATGTGCAGATTGAAAAGTTAAACAACTGCACAACTGAGACACCACAGCCTGCAGTCATAATGTTGTTTTCTTGACTTTTAATGTGTATGTTTTTCATTTTAATCACATGGTTAATATTAGACCTGATTTTCAAAACAGCCCAGGCACTTACAGGACATATTCTGTATTTATGAGCAGAAACAGTGGCTGTGTGGTCGCTTTGCATGTCAGCACTAGGTCAAGCTGATGATTCATTTCTTTCCATACTGACAGCAAAGGCAATGAAACACTGCAGGCAAATATGAGCTAAATGGACTCAAAAACAAAGCAAATGCACTGAGGGGAACTCCTGCAGAGGAAAACACACAAATCCAAGTTTCCAGCTTTGCCTAAAAACAGGCAGCTCTTCATTAGAGCCCAATATAGGATTCTTAAGAAGGATACCGATATGTGGTGATTAAAAAAATCCAATATTTTGATCAATTGGCAGATGTTATTTTCTTTCAGACACAATGAAAATAAACAGATATCATTGACATTTTTTTGTAGATGTTTATTTACTCATTTACACTCTGCCTGACTATGCTCGGATCAGCTGGTTCTTTTGTTTTGTGACATTTAAAAAAAGTGCTGCAAACAGGGACGTTTCAGAGTGCCCTCTGGTGGACAAACTAGGCGATGTCAATACTGATAATACAGTTGAAGGGTGTTTCTCTCGTCTCTTGTTTGTTTTTGTTTTCTCTCACCCCGTTTTCAGCCATTATAATTGTCGACACTGAGAAATGAACAAAATCCGAATTTTGGCCATAAATAAAAGACATTAAAACTAATCTAAAACTATAATCAGACTAAGCAGGAAAAGCTTTGCTAAAATCCAATCCAGCAAATAAATGATATCTATTTGAGTATATTTGAATACATTTGAGTATGACAATATGAGAGAGCATGTTGGAGCCTACTCACAGCCACCACAGCCTCGGCCACTCCGGTGAGCACGGCGGGTCGGAGCGAGTGCAGCAGGATCTTGCTCTCCAGCAGGACAAAGTGCAGCAGTGTGGCGCAGTTCTCCGAGCCCAGATTCATCAGCAGAGTGCCATAGTCTGCCCCGCTGGCACGGAGGGAGAGAAGAGAGGAGAGGAATGAAGTGATGAGTTCGGACAGGGAACGGAAAGCACAGCGGAAAGAAAAGGAGAGGGGAAAATAAAGGGAAAAGAATTTGGAAACAGAAGAGTTCATTGCTGGGTCTGTAACCAAATGTAACCGGAATTAATCAAATGGGAAACAAGGAAAAGGCAGAAATACAGGCACAGAGTCAAAATAACACCATCAACATAAAATGTATTGTTTAACAATCTCGCTGTCTGCTTGCTAAAGCGCTCTGTTTTCAGATGCTTTTTTTCATAATCTAACAAACCAATCATTTTAAAAGCCTTCATAACCACAACTTAAAAGTGACTGCTTTTTGTGCAGTAATTCTGTCTCCTTTAAATCTCTATTGTAGAGACTGCAGCACACATTACTTTGAATATCAATAGCAGCCGGTGCTAGCTTTAACAAAAGCCCGTCAATCACCATTTTTATGAGGTTTCAAGGTTGCATAAGGCAGCGTCCAGAACTACAAAAAGGAAAATAAAGTAGCTGAATTACTCATATCAGTCGGAAAATGGCAGAAGTAGCAGCAGAAAAAGGCTTTAAAAAAAGACAACGATGCAGGAATTAGCTGAACATGTTTTTTTTTGTAGAGAAATTACTTTGTTATGCATTTATTGAGTAGGCCAAGGTACCTGAGCGGTAAGGGTGTACACACGGGCTGGGAGAGGATCAAAGTGTCGTTTGCAGAGAGCTGCAGAGGACATTAAATAACATCAGTGACAGAAAAATACAAAAATATCACAACAAATGTTCCCAGAGTGCTGCACATGTGGAAACTCTGATCTATTTTGACCGACAGCGAGAGAAAAACTCTGACCTGGACCAAGATTCTGGGTCTTTGTGGGGAAGGAAATGAGACATTGTGCATGAAGTGCGAGATGTGCCTGTTGAAGGAAATGATAAAACTCATGTTAGAGGTTTCCTTTTAAAAGGTTGGCATTAAAGTGGCCAATGAATGATTTTGAAAGTTTCCACAGCTGCCAAGTAGTTTCCTACTTTTCAATAGGCAGTGGGTGCGGGCCTGAGACGGAGAACTTGTAGATGAACATCAGGAACTTGCGGAAGCACTCAAAGAAGGGCCAGCGGGAGAGCAGACAGATGCATTTATTGGTGTTCACAGGCCGGTTGGGGATCATCTTCTTCTCCACCGTGGTGAGAAGGCCCAGCTGGATCTTCTGCTTCTCGCTCAACAGATCTGCTGGATATGGCTCGTAAAACTGGATGGCTGAGCCATACACCTGGCAACAAGAGGTGGACGTTAAAGTGTTTGAAACATTTTGGCTCGGCAGAGAGTTTTAAACACTTACATTTAAATATTCCTTTGGTAGCTATGTCTTACCTTTTCACCAGAGGAGACGGTTAAGACAAATGTAGAAAAGACAGGCAGAGGGTCACGAGTGTTCGGTGCCCAGCACTCGATGTTGGCACCCATGGGCAAACAGAACAGAGGTACAGACTCTGACAGAGGGAAAGACTCATAGTCCTCTTCTGGGTAACGAAAGATTAGACCTGGAGCACAGAATAACACACAAACAAATAAATAAAAATCACATGATGAAACAATGTGGTCGTTCAAAGCAAGACACATGGTAACGTTTAAGTTTATTGAATAGTTTGAATAGGTCTTCAAACTTCCAGGCAGGCCTTTAATCCCAGTCTCCCTGCAGGGATTAAACTCCTACCTTTAAGAAAAGGGAGATCAATATTTTGCAACTCTGATGCTCTTACAGTCAGCAGTCTGTATAATTCATTTTGAGGAAATAAGAAGCTCAACTTGATGTCTGTCACTATGAAAAAAAACACACACATTCTTCTGGTCATGCATGGATGCACACACATGCGTGCGCGCACAGCAGACGCACCAAAGGGCGTGGCAGGAAGTGCAGTTGTCCGAGATGAATAAACAGCCACTTCACAGGAAAAAGGCCGGCCAGAAGATAAAGCCAGCCTGCATGTTTCCACAGGGCGTGTATGTTTGTGTGTGTGTGCACATGTTAACCCTGATGACGTTACGCAACGCAGCGCTCAGAAGGCCAAACTGCTGCGGAAGCTTTCAGTCAGTGAAAATGTCACCCAAAGATCAGCGATACACGCTGAAGGTGACCTAAACACGTAAGCAGTGGCCATTGTGACGACACACAATGCCCCAACACGTCTCGCTGCTGCAGTTTTGTTATCAGTGTTTAACATAAATGCACATTTTGGAAAGACTCATGACTGCAAAACATCCTCCCCTTTTCCTCCTGCCTGGACACTGTTTGTCCAGTATATCTATAGTGTCCCTGCTGTCCCTCCTCTGCACAGGTCCAAACCATCTCAGCCTCGCTCTCCAAGTTTGTCTCCAGACTGCTCAACCTGAACTGTCCCTCCGATACACTCGTTTCTAATCTTGTCCATCCTGGTCAATGAAAGCATTAGCATCTTCAGCTTTGCCACCTCCAGCTCGGCCTCCTATCCTTTTGTCAGTGCCGCTGTCCTTAAACTATACACGAGAGCAGGTCTCACTACTGTCCTGTAAACATTCCCTTTCACTCTTGTTGCAATCCTTCCATCACAGTTCACCTCTGACACGCATCACCACCCATCTCCACCCTGCCTGCACTCTCACACACACCTCACCTGTGCACAGTCTTTTGCTTTGGATGGCTGACCCAGGTATTTAAACTAGTCCACGTGTAACCAACGGTTACATGTGCCTCTCTCATTCACACACACTCTGCTTGCTTCTACCGTTTAAAACACTATTATCTAACTGGTCAGGAACACAATGATCAAAGTGATTTACTGATATATTGTATTTACTATTACTGTCAACCTTTTATGTTTTGCATAATATTACAGTACAGTTTTAACTAAGACAAAACATTGTTTCAGTTATATATATTAACTACCTGCTCTTGCAAACAGCTTTAACACCACATGAGCAAATCATTAAAAAAAAAAAAAAAAGAAAAGATGGTGAGGTGAAATCAGATGAATCAAAGACTAAAAACTGAATTACACGAAGACGGACACAACAACGTGACAGCAGTAACCACTGTTCAGCAGCTGCAGGAAACAGATAGCAGCTGAAGATGGCATTTTGAAACCGATCACTTTTACTCACCGGCTTTGTAACTGATGGAATTTGACGCGGACACAGACTTCTTGTAACACAGGAACACACTGGAGCCCCACTGAAAGATCAATCACACTCTTATTATGCATTTGAACTTTCATGAGTGATGCTACTGAAAGAGCTAAGAAACTAAATTCAGACGCACCATGCCGCAGTTGAGGTTCTTGTCCACTTTGCAGAAGGTGTGCGGCGGCGTCTCGCCTTTGCTGGTGACGATGACGCAAATGTCCGTCACGGCCAGCGAATTCTGCGGCTGGACGGGTGGTGCTCGGCGGAAGGTGATGAAGATGCGCTGCGAGGTTGCAGAGCTGTTGTTGACATTCGCGCAGCGTCCGTATGGTGTTGCCTGGATGACCTCACACCCCTGGATGAGACGCTCCTTACCTTCATAAAGCACCCTGAAAGACAACGAGTAAGTAAAAATGTTACTTTGTTTAATACATCTGAATATTTATTTATTTACTTCTTTTTTCTTCTTCTTCATCAAATCCAATATTGCCAAAATCAAACTGCAACTTTAATCTGTTAAAGTTCACTTTACACATATTGTAGCCACGTTTGGTCTTCGTGCATATTTACTTTTTGTCCTCACTGAGGACCAGTACATAGTTTTACATTCACAGTTAGAGGCTAAACTCACCACCAACTTCATCTCATAAGTAGCAGAGCACCACCACACTGGTATGTGAGGTACAGACATGGGACTTGATGAAAAGAATCAGGGAACTGTTCCCAATCAATGTGATAAATAAATACAACTTACACAACCATAGAAGGATAAGAAGATCATAAATAAGAGAATGCAGGGACACTATGGGTGCTAATACAGCTTTGCCCCCCTGCAAAACCAAAGGAAAAAAAAATAGCACATCTCTCTGGTTGGTTATATTTTTCCTAGCAGTAAATTTTCCAAGTAATGATCTTAACAGTCTGAAGTGAAGGTTTCCACAGAATCCTCCAAAGTAATTATTGACAGGATAAATTCCCGGCTGTCTTACGTCTATGCCTACTAGCTATTTCCATCTTCCGTGTAGCAACTTCTATTTCCTGATTGGACGCAGACAATAGAAAACAGTGACAAACAGAGCAGCGCCAAAACTGATAAGAGGACATATTTGATATAAAAGCGATAAACAACTAAATTATTTCATAGATAAGAAATAACAAACAGCAGCTAAACCCAAAAAAAGAGAAGACTGAAGTTGACAGAAACCTACAATCTAACAGAAAAGTTACCCACGTCTTAAAAACCCCCACATTTACTACTACTTGAATCCTGTGCTGCTCATAAGAAGACCTAGAACAACATGCCTGATTTCAATCACCATCTGCATTATATAAAGTCACCTTACAACATCACATTATTCTCTAAACTGCATAGACGGTTAATCTGGACACTCTGAGTTACCACCACAAACTGCACACTAAATATTAACACATCACATGCTCACAGTCTTGGGAAACATATTTCCACAATGGAAAAACAAACATTAGCAATCAAAGAGTCATTTTCCTTTATGTCCTCTTTAGGGCTACACCGATATCTGCCTCTTTAATTGCTAAATGCTCTGCTGTGTGGAGCAGCTACTGAGTCAGGTGTTTGCTTTTTAAAATCTGATCAACCTAAACAGTAACCGTGCAAGCTGTAAACCCCAAATAATAATCAGAAAGGTGCTAAAATGAGCAGGAACTGCAGGCGGAGTTATCTGATCTAAGGGTTTTATACTAGTAACTGTAGCTTTGAGTCTCGTAAGCTGTCAGAAACATGCTTACAGAAAAACACAGAAGGACTGATTTCTGTAAACTCCACGCAGCTTTGCTTCAGTGCAATTACGTAGTTAAAATGCAAGGAACTACAATTTCTTCATGCGTACAAATCTGACAAAGCATAAGCACCGCACTGCTACTATATGAAAGCATCCTTCCCATGGGAAACAAAGTGTATGCCAGCGAGACACTAAATAAAGGGGTTAAACTGTGGCTCTGTGGTAAGAATAATCTCTGGTTCTCCTGTTTTACAGAGAGGATCAGTGTGTGGTCAGCACTGCTTACTTTATTCTGAAAGCTCTGGTTTCTCTTTAAAGCCTCGGTAAGTCTGTCTTCAGTGAGTGATGTGATTCAGACTTAGTAGCTGACTCATTCACATCCCAGACAGTAAAGTGGTTTTCGTATCCAGCTCACAACAGATTAAACTCTTGTTACAGCTGAAACGTTCTGTGCGCTACCTGTCTCTGCGACCTGCTCGCTCCCACATTGAATTTCATACAGCCAAGAGCTGCAGTCTGGAAAGCAATCAGTGCCCCACTGTGTTGGATTTTTTTATTTTTTGCATGACTGCAGGGCTTCTGTAGTAGCATGCTCCATGTCCTCCCTTTCCATCTGGACAATGCCATGTGGGAGGCCAAAAGCTTTGACTCCTACCCTCTACAAACTAGGACTAAAAACACACTTTTTGATCCATGGGTAGAGCCAGCCGTTGCAGATATAATAGTCCTGAAACACTCCATTTATTCTGAAAAGAGTGCAGGACAAATCAAAAGAGGCCGGGAGGACAGTTGCCAGCAAAATTCTCATTTAGGCAACAAAAACAGGGTCTTAATGGGCATGGTAAGCAGTCATGCTCTGGAGCCCCGGGCTGGGAATGTTGGACAACAGAAGGAGCGATAAATGATTTACGCTTCACTAGATTTACATTTATTCTTTCACTGGACAAGCGGAAGGTGGAGTAAAAGCAAGCATCTTCTCAAACAGCTTTTGTATTAAATTCACAAATTTTACATTAGGAGTCTAAATATTTGTTAACAGTAACCCGCAAGAAGACCACGCTGTTATTCAGCCTCATCAGAGGCATAAGTGTCTCAACTGATGATGAAAGTACAAAGCAGCTTTACAAGTTTACTTCTATTTTTTTTTCTATTTGCATGCTGAGGGGGATTGCACAATCTCATGGAGGAAATATGACTTTGCATACAATCTTCTGTGTGTGCAGGGAGTCACGGCTATAAAGCGATACCTAGGAGGAGGAAATCACATTAGTAGATTCCTTACAGAATGGAAATAAAGTCTGAGGCACCAGATCGACGTTTTTTTATTTAATCCAGTCTTGATTTTGCAGAGAGGAGGGGAATCTTTCAGAGAGGGAGCAGGAGAATGCTGGCAGTTGTAACTGGAATCTCCAGTTTGTTAGCAGGAGGAAAAAAACAAAACAAAAAACCCCCCCCCCAAAAAAAAACAGGCTTTAGACAAAGCTCAGGTGTGTGAAGAACGTGAATGCCTTAAGAGGTTGCATCACTGTTCTGAAAGATGCATTACTGCATGAGATACTGCTCCTTCACTCAGGTAACAGGATAAAATGCTGCTGCTGATGAGATGTAGATTAAAAGTTCGGCTTCCTGTGACGCTAGTAAGGCTTAGGGCATACCTCGCTGCGTGAAGTGAAATATATTGGAGTTCCCTTTTAAAACATAATAGTAGGAAGCAGGGAAATTTCTATTGTCAGATACGAGCCAAGAGGCGTGGCGGAGAGGGGGAACTTTGTCACAAAATAGGGGAGAGTGAATAAACAGCTAACTCGCCTACTTCCTGAATGTCTGCAGTAATGTTTTGTCAGGTATAAAACACAAACTGACAAACCTAACAGTGCCAGGTTTTGATTGCCAGGGGGGAACACCCCCCCCCAAAAAAACCCAAAAAAGGGGTTTTTGACCGTGACAGTCATCAAATGACGCTGCTGAAGAGGTTTTTTCATGTGAAATTCTGAATGATGACGTGACAGCACCGGCACACTAACGATCCACTTAGCTGATTGATCAGATTTTTTACCACAGGGCTGCTTTCTGCGTATGATCAACTGCCAGCATGTCAGCTAGCAATCTGCACAGCAATTTGTAGCAGGTGTAATTGATCAGCTTGTTTCTCTTCCACACAAGCTCACTTCTCTAACCTGCCTTAATCACAATAACACAGCAAGAAATCAGAGCAGTAGGATGAACCTAAAGATTCACAACAAAGTGGATAAAAAAATAAATCTCATTCTTCATTTTTATATACTTGGCTGGATGAGCCGTACATATTTCATCTGTCTGAATTTACAGCTTACAGGAGAACTTGTGTACCGATTACATCATTTTAAACACATGAGTTTAAAATGATGTAGGATTTTTTCTCTCTCGTGCTATTCATCAGTTAAACCTAGTTCTAAAATTGCTAAATAACCCCACTTATAATGGTCTCCTCCTCCTGCAGGCAAATGGGCATTTGTGATTACAAACACCAGCATACTGTAAATAAATGGCTGACTCACCCGATGTCAATCAGCGGAGGTTTACCCCGTCCTCTCTTGTAGCAGAGGAAGAGCTCGGGGCTCTTGAGACTGCCATGATTAAGGTTGGCTGGCTGGCCGCTGTGGGTGCTCTCGATACAAGTGAAGCCTTCAGGCACTGTTTCCCCTGCTGACTTGTTAATGACGGCCAACTCAGTGATGGGCGCTTTGGGCCCGGTGGATTTAGTCTCCGACAGGTCCTGCTCCAGGGGCGTGGACTTGTCGGTCAGCCCGGCCACCACAAAGTAGTCGGTCACGCGGTGACCCTTGTCCTCAATCATGGCTGGATGTACCTGAGAAGAAAGAACATAAAAAAATTTACATTTTTGATTTCAACCTCATATACAGCAAAGCTTCTTGTAGCCTTCTATTCTATACTGTATTTAAATGTTCTTACAAAGCACATAGGACATGGGTGTCAAACAGAATTAGCCTGCAAAAGACTCTAATCCAGTCCAACTGGGTGGCTCTGGAAAATGTGAAGGAGGGGATACATTTTGGATTTTTAACCAGTGGTACAGACCTCCATTTATGTAGTGAAGCAACAGATAAACAAATAAATGACAGAAAATTTCCTGTTTTTTCACCATCTACTGTAGAAATGTATGATTTATGATTTTAGGTTCAAAGTAAAACGGGACATATTCTGTCAGCTTTCAAAAAAAAATGTTTTACAATTACAGGAGAGTCTGTGCAATGAGCTAACAGAGCATTTTCACAATTTTACACATACAATTATTACAATTTATCCCAAAGAGGCATGCTAACATATTTATTTATTTTCCTAGAAAAAGCGAGATGTGTTGTTGAAACTGCACTTCGTTATCTTACATTACAGACATGTCAGAGATTAAATCTGTAGTTAAACTTCTTTAAACTGACAGAAAGGCCAGATTGAAGATCAAAGTTTGCCGCATGTGGCACACAAGGTAAAATGACATCCTTAATGTGGGTCACGCACATCAAAGATCTGCAGGTCTGCAACTATAACTGCAGCAGAAAGTACATCTTAGCCAGAAGAACATTTGACTTTGACACAGTAGAATGGGTTTCACATGCATTCCCCAGAAAATAAATACTGTGGTCAATGCAATGAAAGGATCCTTTAAGACTGTCGCACCCCACCGGAGCGCACACACACTAGGGAAACGCAAGATTTAACGAGGGGACTGGATCTGCTGGCATTCCCAAACACCCTTGTCACTGTATATCACCGCACTGCTCCAAACAAGTCGAGAGAGTTAAAGCTCTGGTGGCTGCGACGAGCCAAGGCAGAGCGGCCGAGGCTGGAGGAATGCTCAGAAATGCCACTGAGAGTGTAAATCAAGCAGACATCCAAGTCTACAAAACTGCTGAAATATGGTCTCAAACTGGGCTGGCACTGGCATAATGCGCCTTTAGGCATCGTGTATTGCATGTTTTCGAGGAGAACTTCTAATAGAAGTTTATGCTTTCCCAGTAAACCTTTGAGTCACAATGCCAAGTATAAAGTTCACTGTCAGGGACTTAGTAATCAGTTACAGACCAAGACGCAACACAGTCACACACTGCTGTATGGTAAAAATGCAGAGAGCGATGGTTCATCCGCAGGATGGTTCTGCGGCTAAAACTAAAGAGTTTGTTTCCTTAAAGCTCAATATCACCACAAATGTTCAGTTTATAACAGGTGGTCCCTCAGTAGATAGTGAGGTAAATATGCATCTCAAATCTGCCACTTAAACAGCTAAGAAACAGAGCGAACAAGGAGAAGGTGACTTAGTTACTTTATATAATTTCTCCCACAAGGGTTTTCACAATCAAAACACTTATTGAAGATGCAGCTTGAAGCCATAATTAAGCAGCATGGGATCATGGGATGTCTTCACCACTGCCAGTGATGATCTATCTGAAGTAACTCAGTCATGTATTGCTATTTCATTCAAATGACGTTAGTTTGAGTAATTCCTGAAGATCATATAAGCCAACGACCAGCAATAGAGCCACCACAGACAACATTATGAGTTAAAATCAATAGTGGGGCAGCCTGCCACTGTTCTCTTTACTAGCATGTTGATTATTGTCATAATGTTATACTCGGCAGGAAACTACAAATAAAACAGAGCGGTACATTAAATATAATTATGGATTTCTCCTGGTCTTTACATTTTTGGAAGCATAATGTAAGTAGGCAAGTGAAGAAATATATAAAACCAGTCATTTTGGGGTGTTTAAAAAGGGAAAAGGTTTCACATTAGAGTCTTAAGGCAAGCACGTCTATGCCCTCTTCAAAGAGCTTTTAGGACCAACTCAGGAAGTTCAGTTTTTCCACTGGTGAGTCAGCATCTGCAGCAGGACAGAAAAAGAAGCCACTTTGTACAGCCACAGACAGCCCTGAACTTTATGACACAGCTTAATGCAGTTCTTTGTGGTCTTCTTGTTTCTATTTTTACCGGTCGACATGATAACGCACTGCAATAATGCCACGGTATTATCATGAAGCAACAATGCAGGCAATCTGAAAGTTGGGAGAGGTAAAAATCAAAAAGAATACACGCGAGGCTAAGTTTGTGTGCAGGAGGCTGCAGTTCAAGGTGTGGTAGATCGGCCTACCTGGGAGGAAATATTCAGCTACAGTGAGGCAAACGCACCAAACACACTTTCCACACAGTTTCAAATCCTTTCTAGATTCTCAACCACTGCCAGCATACATTCTGGGACAACCACGGTATAATCTGTGTCACAGACATTTCAAGTTATGTTTCATTATTGTCACACAGGACATGACTCATTAAAACGAAGAATTCATGCAGTGCCACTTTCTGGGCTCAAACTTGGCTTGCTGCCTATGAGAATGTGCCAAAATTGATTTGTTTCGAGAAGACTGCCAGCTCTACGGTCCAGGTAACTTTCAACAGTTAAAACTGGACATCTTCCCAGGATATGGCCTCCTTTTCATTACAATGCTGGGAAAACGCTCCAGTAAAAAGAGCCGAGTTCAATGCGTCAACACAGCCATTTAAGCAGCGAAACCAGTAAAGGTTAATGTCGTGTGTACGAGGAGGTGGAATGATTTCTACTTTTACCACCAACAGAAAACGCAATAAAAAAGTGCATTAATGAGGACAGGAGGTAAGAGGCAGGAGGGATCCGCGATCTATCAAGATCTATCTGACCGGGTTTACTCACTTCAGTCAATAACGTCTATTTATCTCTGTACTCATGGCCGTGTGTTTATTTGCTCTACGTTTAGTCATGTCCCCGATACTTGTTTATTTTTGTGTCTACATATCACTACTATTATGTGACAACATCATTGCAGAGGCAGAGTTAAGACTTATTGCTCTGAAAAGATTTACTGCACAGTATCCATGGCTACATCTCACTTGTCAAAAACCTGTTTAAAAGCAAAGTGCCGTTTTCTCCATATTTGCACAGCAACAAACCACACTGTTAAATGTGCTCTCACCAAAGTGGCCAATAAATGTTCTCTGGTGGTTTAAACATTGACTGGATGGGCTTTCTGTGTTTGTGGGTAAATAAGTGCCTCTTTACAGCCAAAACACTTGACATGGAAAATGGTCCAGGGAGTCTGTTACAAATGAGCAGTTGTTTCAAAAGTTTAGTCCACAAACATGAACTGACCATCAGCTTCTAAGCCAGTAACTGAAATTTAACGTTTATTTTAATTTACAATTACAATATGCTAAACCCATAGACTGTATGTAAAAGATGGCTATAGTCAGCGTTGTACATATTAGTTTATAAAATACATCTTAGGAGTTTGGAGTCTGATATTGTGGAGCCAGAAAACAAATGAGTTTCAATTTATCAGCTAATGCCAACTTACCTCCAAAACAAAGACCCTACATTAATACAAAGAAAACAGAGAAACCCCCAACAAGAGCAAGTGCTTTGGCGACAGTGGGAAAGAAAAACTCCCTTTTAACAGGAAGAAACCTCCAGCAGAATTACGCTCAGGAGGAAGAGCCATCTGTCACGAGCAGTTGGGGATGAGGGGAGGAAGACAGGACAAACACTCGCAAAAACATACATTCTTAGGTGGTCTGCTAGAATATTTTAACCACACTGAAAGAAACATTTGTGTAAGTAATTAATTGAAAAATATACTAAAAACAAAGTCAAGATAGTAGTGGTGGTAGTGATAATGGTGGTGGTGGCAGTGGTGGAGAGGACAAAGGCAGTAATTGTGAGGTGCAGACAGTACAGTGCCAATGTTTCCTAATATCATTAAGCAAAAAGGTGTAAAAATACATAAAAAGGAAAAAATAAAAGTATAAAAATTATTCACCTAATTTAAGTTCACACTACTTTCTCCCAAAATTTCTCTCTGTCACCACACCTTATTTTGGCTTTATAGTACCACATTTGTATCTGTTTCCATGGGTATATGCTACACAAACCACAACAGACCACAGCTTAATGTGGAAGATACTCGTGTGCAGGTCAAACGCTGATTGGCTGAAACAATAAAGGAAGTGACTGTGGAGTTAACAAACTGCAGAAGCGTGAAAAACCATCAAAGACAGCATGAAAAGCACAGACATGAAGAACAGTCAGAGTCATTTCAGCTCTTTGTATCTTGTAACTTGGCTCTTTTCTCTGGCTGATTGATAGACCAGCAACGGCTCCCTGGTGACAGCAGACAAATATGAAACCTCAAAAAACCATAAAACCATGAAAAAGCCATTATACTTGATTTATGGTGCTGCAAGTGCGTATTTGCCTACGAAGAGAGGTTTTCAACCAATGGAAACGTGCTGCCTCCAAATCTCAACTGCACATTGCTCGAGTGTGTCGGCCGTATGCTGATTGGTTGACAAGTTGACCGGAAAAACTGAGTTCACGGCACCAAAAATACAGACAGCAGCTCCACGGACACTTTTCGTTATTTTCAATACTGAGTGTCACTTCAGCTCTTTTTATGTTAGAACTTGGCTCAAATAAGAGTACACGTCAATGCTCCCAGAGGAGTCAAGCTAGGCTAAACACTTAGTTGAGCTGTGGTGGCGTAGGAGCAAGAGGGACACACGCATACACATTTATTTCCCATTAAAGGGGCTATACCAGCAAGAAAGCAACAAAGAGTGGCAGTGGCCAAAAGAGTGAGCAGTGAAAATGAAATAAAAGCAAAGTTCAAAGCTCCCAGTTTAGACACAGTGTAAGCCCTCGTGTACTTATGCTAAAGGGAACTGCAGTTACTTTGAGCAACACCTTTTATGTTATGGTCATTTGAGCCATAAGATAAAAATATTGATTATAGCTGGATACAATACAAGGAGGGAGTTGGGTAGGT